GACAGGTGCAACAATTTCAGTATAGACTTATCTTAGTACTTGAAAAAAAGCAGCAGCTGTAACATACCATCAAGAGGCATCAGTGCTGGCTAATTATAAGAATTAGATCAAAGATATAGACAATTCCAAATTAAAGTAGTCACAACTGGCATGGGATGTTTTATTTATCTAAATTCATAATGAGAGAGAGAGAGAGAGAGAGAGAGAGAGAGAGAGAGAGAGAGAGTTCAGCACTGCAGTAATGCTCCTCATCATTCTCTAAAGATGTTATTGACCAGATGAACATGGATCCTGTTTATCATCATAATAGGAGATGTGATGGGCTGATATCTGCCCTCAGTGCTCCCATTTACTGGTGTAAGGTATGCTACCACTAGTCTGGGCTAGTAAGCACTGCATTGATAGGAATCTACGGAGATATGGTAGCTTGTGTGGAATTGGAGGTGTGAGTCTGATTATGTGTGTGTGTGTGGGGGGGGGGTGCACTTGAAAAAAAGCCACTGTATTTGATTTTTTCTACCAACTAGTAAGTTCTCCAATTCACCCATTTGAATAAGATATATTATGGCGAAAATGTCATTTTAATGCTTAAAATCCAGTTGAACCTTTGGTTTGTAACATATCAAAGCTCAGCAAATTTAAGTACAGTACTATTAAGCTCAATCCCATTGTTCTTTTCCAGTCAAAACATAGGAATATCCCAGTTATTTGCTGTTTTTTTTTTTTTGCCTCAACATTTTACCCACGAAAACCTCACATTTTCCGAACAGATGACTCATTGTGTCAGTAAGAAGTCAGATTATTAGTACATGTATTCTGTGATTGGAAATGCTAGCCATATTATAATGTAAATAAGGAGTGATGCAATTACACATCTGTCTGGGCAGTCTGTCTGCGTTTTTCTTGATGCAGTTATAACTCAATAAATTCAAACAACTTGGCTTTATCAGTGATTTCCGTCAAGAAAGTTTTGTCTTAGTTATACAAGTTTTACAGGTTCTGAATAATTTTCCTGGAAATTTGTAGTTGGCTTTGTGTCAGAAAGTACATTTTTGTAAGAGTCTATAAATGAGGAATCTTGCAGAACTGTCATATTTGAGAACAAGTGAAGCTGTACAAAATTTTAACCAGATGCCATAACACAGCCTTGCTGTATCAGTGGGTGCATGGTTATATATGAAGGTAAAGGGTAGACTGAAATTACTGTGTAATTACACCACTTATCCAATCATCAGTGACTAATTATGATGTTAGCTGGAGCACAGGTGAGGCCAGGTGAGGGGGAGGCCGCGTTCACACTTGAACCAACTTAAGCACACCATCTAAATTCAGGACTGCTTGTAGGCCAGGGTAACAAACTTGTGCAGTGCACAGCACAAACTGGAGATGTTGTTGTATCAAAGACCAAGTGTGGACATCCCTCTATAAAATGCTTAGAAGTCAGATGATGGATTAGTTACATTGGTACCAATTGGGGCTCTTGAATATGCTATGGCTAATATGTGTTGATTTTTTTCACAGCTTATGGCAGTTCTTAAATTTTAAATTATGTTAACTGCATACTAATAAATAAATAGATAAATAAATAAATAAATACATTATTATTATTATTATTCCGTCTGCCGCAAGTTTAAATTCACACAACAGATGGGTACCAGTAGATTGAACAACCCTGAACAAACGGCCCAAACCCAGTCATATTCATCATTATTATTGTGAATCATATCTATTGCTTTTTATGCCCAGGCTTGGGATGGAAATTAGTATAGCTAATTAATTCTCCTAGGTCACTAGCTGTTAGGCTTATACTGGGGTTTAATGGATGAAATATGGCATTGACTCAGTAGATTCGAACAACATAGATTAATAACCCTTCTCCCTGTCTCCCCTTTTTTTCTCTGGGGGGGGGGGGGGAGGGAGGTACGCTTAAAGTTGGTACGATTTTTTTTTTTTTTGAATAGTTGTCTTAGTATCCAAAAGACTTATTTCGAGTATCCTAAATGAATTATCATGACATGCAAAAATACAGAATTATAAAAAATGAGGCATTTGGAATTTTTTAGTATTATACAATTTTTTAGTATGTTGTGTTTTTCTGGAATTCACTCTTCTTTATGTGCTTGTTCTTACATGATATGTATACCCCCACCTCCACATTTATTGTTTTTTCTCCAAACTCTCTTTCAAGTTATTTTTGAATGCTCCTCATTGCCATAAAAGCAGATTCTCAAAATAAGATGTTGTGAAAAAAACAAACCAGAAGGCTGTTGATATCAGCTTTCTCTGAGCACAGTAGATAGAAGTTACAATGCCTTCATTATATCTTGTTAGAAATGATAAGAACAAGGCAGCAGACATCTATATTGGTTTGTAACTGTGTTATTGGGCTTCTGTCCAACATTAACAAAACTCCAGGCTCTGAGGGCTGGATTGAAGTTATAGGGTTACTGCTGCTTTGAGGTTAACTAAATATTCTCTCTCTTAGTTGGTTTTTCATGTTATGAATGCATACACATATTGGAAAAATACCGGAAAAAAGTTTATTCTGTGCATTAAATGTTGTTTGCTTCAAGTGCAGATCGATTCATTGTTGTTCTTTTGGTTTCTGGACTAGATTATCAGAATGAAAATGCAATGTATTGATCACATTATCATATTATGATGATAGAGCTTTATATTAATTAATATTAAGCACCTTTCCAAAAAGTAATAAATGGGCACTTTCAAAGCAGCAGTATTTCTTCTAATCATACAAGGTGTATTAAACAGATTGAAACCTTTAGATATCAACTCACATCTTGCAGACTAAAATTCAATCAGTAAGGACCATTTGAGAGTTGATGTTGATACTCAGGGCAGTTTTTCTTAATCCACCTCATTGATAAAAGTTCTTTGGTAAGGGAAAGATATCTCGAGTGGCTTCTGTTCTTCCAATTAATATGTTCAGATGATCCAGGTGACTGGGATAAAATACCATCTCTGGAAATTGTGGTAAATAAGGTTAAGTTTGGTTAAGTTCATGGAGGGATTGTGGTATATTAAACTTTAAAAGTGGACTGTAACTGTTTGTTTGATTGATCGAATCAATTTTTTTTTCAACATTTTAATCGGGTAGTAAGCAAAGATAAATTCGTTTTGATTACTAGTACTTTAGTTTTTCTCTTTGAACAAAATAAAGGGGAATTGTAAATCACTTGCATGGTAGACCTTTTGAAAGAAACTTTCTGTGAGCTCTGGCAGTTATCGGGGAAGATTGCAGAATCCAGAAATATTCTCAGAAATTCCAGGTAACATAGCCCCATCTTATGGGTTTTATGACCTGTAGCTGTCTTGTTTGTGAATGCCTGGGATGCAAAGCACATTTTCAAAGAGATGTTCTAATCTAAACTATGTCTGAAAGATATGCTAGGCTAGGAGCACTATCAAAGGTGATGTCTTTTTTTTTCTGGAATGAATCAGATGCCTTACATATGAATGAGAGATCTGTCTAACTGGAAGCCTAAGGGATGATAACTTAAGGTTAGAGCAGCCTTTTTTTAAAATTTTCATGAGAAACGCTGAGGGTTTTCCTGTATTCATTTTACTGTTTGAAATTTAATCATATTCACCATTATGTTTAATTATTCATTATTTTTAAAACTTGAATTACTATGGAATTTTGGAAAGAAAAAATAATAAAATTTCTAGTCTTCTTCTTGGATAATCTTCACATTTCTAGTACTTTTTTTAAAACCAGAACTGTACTGTGTTCTAAACTCATATAATGTATTAGAAATTGTAGATTGATAGGTGTTTGCTGGAATATAGTACTGTACATTTTGTTTTAAATTCCAGAAAAGATTCTTATTTTACTTTTTAATCAAACAAAGGCACTCTTGTTCCTTGCATTTTTGTTCTGCCCACAGGTGCAATAATTTCATTTCTTAAAAAAGCTCTACGTTAAAAATACACATGTAAGAGACATAAGAATAAGGTATTCAAGAAGAAAATGGTAAGATTAAAGAGAGCTAAAATTCCTCAAATTAACCTGAAATCTGAACAACTTTCTTATTTGGGATGAGTATACATGTTCATGTAGGAAATTCAACCTTTGCTATTTGATTACATACCTGTGGTAAACATGATAAGGAGGAACTGGTATGACCTTACTTATGTTTATAGATTGTACTTCCATGATTTACGTGCAAATTTCAATCGGGTTAACCTGCTTCTAAAAGTACTTATATTAGAGTGCTGTGATTTTTTGTAGAAGTAGTACTTAGTAATTTGGCTATATCAAAATGCTTACGGAGATATATATGTTAATTAATTATGTTGTAATTGCCTTCTGAAGAGCAAAGTCAGACAATGTCTGTTTATAAAACCCCCTCTTTAATTAATGTAGTATCATCACTTGGATAGGGTTACTGACTGCAACTGTTACATTAATTGCAGCATATATAGTTATCCAATGCTTTCCATAATTAAGAGGTTAGGTACCAAAGCTAGTTTTGTCTCTTGCAACATAGTTGTTGAAAAAACTTCAGATTGTAAACTGCTAGTCTATAAGATGATGTAATAATATTTGGTTAAGCGCATTCATAGAGTTTTCTGGGGTATTCTTTTTAGTAATTATATATCATGAAGTAGTTTTCTTGTCTTCAAGTACAAGAACATTTCTATACTTGTATTAAGAAAATACAGGTACCCTTTAATGCTCTTCACTTAGAAGTGGAAAATTTTTCAGTATGTGCTAAGGTACAATATTTGATGAAAGACTTTTGTAAGTTTCCTTTTAGAAAACTTGATTCTGTGATAAAATTCAATTGTAAAATTTGAAATTGCTGTGGAAGAGCCTCACTGTTTAGATGATAGGTAAGATTGGTAAAACTTTTGAATTTGTAAATGGTTGTAAAGAAAGACAGATGGGCATTTTAAGACAGGCAGGCAGACAAACAAGTAAACTAATGAAGGAATAAAGTTATTATTTTCAATAATAATACTGTTATTATATATTTCAGGTCTTCCATCATGACTCCCAGACTATGGTGCTGTTTGCTTTTATCCACTACATTACTTGCCTTTGTGGCAGTATCCCATGGTGAGTAAGGATCCACCATCTTGGGTTTGGAGGCCATTTTAAGAAACCAAAATCATAACTTTTCAAGAAAGTTTTTTTTCTGTGAAAATTAAATAACACTTGGTATTTGTATGGGGCATTACTGTCTGACATGTCAGAAATATGAAGTATAGATAAATGGATAAGTGTAATGTGTATGCTTGATAAAAAAAACATGTTAAAATGAAGATATTTGAAAATTGAAAGATAACTGTGTGCATATATATGTGTATATGTGTATTTATATGTATATATATTTCAATAAACCGGCAGTCCCTTTAGTTAAAACTCTGTTATGGCATGTGTGTTCCTTGTTACCTCAGGTCAGGAAGCAGATGTCACTGCCACCAGTCTGTGTCGCAAGATGACCAACTGTAGTGCCTGCATTGCTGGGGGACCTCTCTGTGCTTGGTGTAAAGAACAAGTGAGTTAAACTAGGTCACCTTGACCTATTTATGTATAATTTTTGTATAAAATGAAGATGGAAAATACAAAAAGAAAAATCACTATTTTGTTTGAAGAGCTGTCGCAGACCCAGTTGAAATAGTCGGATGTTATATCTTTTGAAATAAGGCTAGAGATTAAGTCCAGCTGTTTAGGACCCAAAAAAGAGCGATTTTTAGGGCGTTTTTTAAAGATATATTTCATCAGGTTACTGAAATGCCAGTGCAATCATCTCCGAGTGTGAAATGAGCCATTAGTGTAGTCGATAATGTTTTTATATGTTGACTGACATCTACAATGTTGACTGACTTTAGAAATTATCTAAAGGCTTACTAATTTTTCTATTCTTAAAATTTCGGATCAATGACCTACAAATGGATTGTGTAAAACTTTAGACTTTATTTTTTAAAGTTTTTCTGAAAATTCTAGATCACCGACGTGAAGGAGGAGCAGAGCAGACACAGATGTGATATATTAGCCAATCATCTGAAAGGCGGTTGTGCACAGGTCGACATTGTCAATCCTGACCATGATATTAACCCCACCAAGGTGCATATATTAGCCCTTTATTCCAATTCTTTAAACAGACTTATATTTAAAAATACTTACTGTTTTCCTCATGAGGACTTATGCTGATGACAGATCGTGATTGATGAAATCATTATATTGGAGCTCTGGATTGAATGGTCTGAGTTATGAGATGAAAGGTGATTCAGACATTGGAGCTAAATTGGACTAATAAGGGCATCTTATGAGGTATAATTAATAGTTTTAATCTTAGACCATATAGACTGTCGCAATGTTAGGTGTGACAATGTAAATTTGATTCTTGCTCATATCTTTATTCTATTCATCAGGACACTCCACCCAGGTCGGGTTCTATGACAGAGAAGCCCATCCAGCTTTCACCTCAGGAGATGAAGATCAAAGTTAGACCAAGTAAGTAAAATAAAGGTATAAACTGGGTTCAAACTGGGTACAAAATGGGTGAAGCAGGTTCATACTTTGTGTATAAACTGAGTGAAGATGTGTTCAGAATTTGGGTGTAAAATGGGTGCAAGCAGGTTCAAAATTTAAACAAACTCCGTTTAAGCGGGTTCTAAATTTGATGATAAAATGGGTGGAAGTATTTAAAAACACCAGACTTAAACATGGTGCAGACAAACTCAGTACCTCAGTGTACCTCCAGTCTGCCATGGCCTCCTCCTCTGAGTAAAGCATGTTTCTCTGTGTATTATTTCAGACAAGCCAGTAAATTTCAAGGTCCATTTCAAGCTGGCTGAGAACTATCCTGTGGATCTGTACTACTTGATGGACATGTCCAGGTCTATGAATATACACAGGGAGAAACTGGCCGCACTGGGAGTTAAGATCTGTAAGTGAACGTGCTTTTAAAAAAAAGGAAAGTAATGAATTTTTAATTGTGAAAATAATCATGTTTTCCATCTACAATCTTTTATGTATTAATTTTTTAATCTTTTTTCCAGCTAATGAAATGGCTGCAATTACCGAAGATTTTAGACTTGGTTTCGGCTCCTACGTTGATAAGGTCACCATGCCTTATGTCAGTATTTATGCCCCAAAGTAAGGAGTAAAAAATGCATTACATATAATTAAACCAGCAGTCTTATTTGCTCGGTATTTTAGAAAATCAAACTTGTGTTTATTTTATATTATTGATAGGTAACATTGTTTTGTATAATTATGATTGATAACTGTGGTCATCAATTCAAATTTTGTACCTGAAAATCAGTTAAAATAATTCAAAATTGGAAATTGTTCATTAAATTAATAACATTTTTAGGGAGGAAAAATGTCAGGGTTTTTTATTATATAATAATAATCTTTATTGAGCACTAAAATGTGTACACGTTACATTTTACAGGCTTTCTACACTAGTCATAACAATTTAACAACAATTATACAAATCTATACAAATACTTATGGAACATATTCAAATGGGAACATATGCCACCCACTATTAATATATATATATATATATATATATATATATATATATATATATATATATAATTTTTTTTTTTTTTCCCTGTGATTTCCAGGCTGAACAACCCTTGCTCAGAAAGTGATAAATGTGCTGCCCCCTATGGTTACAGACATGAACTAAGTCTTACTAATGATGCTAAGATATTTTCTGTAAGTACTTTCCTCCTACTCACTGTTTGTGTTCTAGAGATAAGATTTTCATGTCTTTGAACAAAGTCAGATGTGTCATAAAGTTATAAGAATATAAAATTTTGTCAAAAAACGCCCATGACTTTTTGTGTTATGATGCTAACTAACAAAAAAAAAAAAAAAAACACCTCTTTGGCAGGAGAAAGAATATAAAGGTAAAGTGATAATATTATATTGTTGTTGATGTTGTAGGAAAAAGTGCTAGCCACCCCCATATCTGGTAATCTTGACGTCCCTGAGGGGGGCTTTGATGCTGTAGTCCAGGCTGTTGTCTGTGAGGTGAGCAGTAAAATTAATAGATTCTATAGAGAATTAGAAAACGTTGATTATTTGGCAATGTTTTACTTTGGTAGAAGGACCAGATTTTTCTTATAAACCACAAATCAGTTAAGTTAATTTCAGTGTTAATAAAAGTGTCACTGAGTTAATTTCAGTGTTTTACGAAGCAGTAGGATTTATTTATAGTACTCAGATAAATGGACAGTATCAGGACTGCTGTATATATTGAATACATCACTAATAACAAATTGAACTATTCTAAATATGAAGATAGAATATCAACATGTTCTTCACTTTATTTATAACTACAAGATTTTGTTCATAAAATGATTGTGAGTTTGTTTCAGGATACAGACTGACATTGACAACCTCAACTGTTACAGTACCACTATGAGTACATGTTTTATTATACACAAGGGGAATAGTTTTCAGTTACATAAATCTCATTTTCAGATTATTTTTTTAATGACTCTTATAGTCATGCCAATGTCTGATTAAATGTTTGTAATTTAAAAGCTGTTCTACAGGAACTCACAAGTTCAAAGATACAATGTTTCAACCATCTATTTGACATTACAGAAGCAAATAGGCTGGAGAAATCCTTCCAGAAAGCTGCTGATCTTGAGTTCTGATTCTGGGGTTCATTTGGCAGGGGATGGCTATGTATGTGCAGTATAGATATCATATAATTATAAGTGTCCTTAGGCTGTGGGATATGAATGGGGTGTAGGGTATAACTCTTAGATATAGAACACTGGAATAATTAATACACTGACAAAGGAAGATGAAAGAAACTGATGAAGTCTGTGTCCAAAGATGTTCTATGGCCAGAGAGGTTCTGGCAGAAAGCCAGACCATTGTCTACACAAAAGTAAAAACTAGGAAAGACACACGTTCAGGAAGTAGGCAACTGGACAGACAGATTGCCAGACAGAACAGAAAGAAGACAGAAAACTGATTGACAGACAGACAGACCAACATACAGACAAGATAGTTGTGCAGTCGAGCAGACAGACATTAAGGCACACTGCTACACAGATGACATGGGTCTAAAGTCAATAACAACACAATCACTACATTGTTGGCACAAAACAGACATGTTGACAAGAAGGAAAGGACTTACGACTGCTCAGTAACCATGATAATCAGCCCCTGTGGTGGAGGCCAATGTCTCTTTATGATTATATTAGTCGGTGCACATAACTCTGTATGCTATATTTACAGGAAACCGTTGGGTGGCGGAGTCCGTCTCGTAGACTTCTGATCATGTCCACAGATTCTCCTTTTCACTCTGCGGGTGACGGCAAGGTTAATACACTCACCAGTAACTGACACAGAGGGTGTCTTCTTACCACAGTGTGCTCTTTCTACAGTTTTTGTCTTAGAAAATAGGGAGGAAAAGGGGATTTTTTAATTTAAAAATAAATAAAAAAAGGGGTGGACTTATTAAACGTGGATGGTGATACCCTCATTTTGCCATGTGCTGTAACATTGTTTTTGTTCAGTGCATTTGTTTTATGTGTTTATTAAAATTGGGTAATGGTATTTCTTCAGTTTAATGAAAACTACAAGGTGGAGAATACATTTGAACTGCAGAGAGCACAGTGCATTTATAATTTGATGTGATTTGCACGTGTTTTATTTCAAACTGTTGTTACCCCTCCCTTCATCCCCCCTCAACCCCCCCCCTCTGACCCCTCCCCTCTCTTTTACTAGTATTTTGTTTTCTCTACTCTGTCTTCCATAGTCATAGATTTTGGATTTTACTTTTCTTTGCTCTTTATAAAAAAACATGCATCATAACCTTTAGTGTTCTGCACTTTTCCATTCAATTTGGGTCTGCCGAACATAATGCATTAAGTCTTAGTTGACTGTTTGATTACATTCTAAACACAGTAATCCAAACTGACTGCAGACAGCTTGCCTTAGTAACAGTAGGGATAGCTGGGGCAACTGTGAGATCAGATTGGCCTTCTGTGGTGAGCTAACCGTAATCCGACTTCTTAATGAATCAGTACAGTCATAAGTTAGGATGACCCAAGTTGGCTGGAAAAGCACCTTAAATGTGGTTCTTAACTTAACAATTTACACTTACCATCACTTTAACTTAGTGTAACTTAGTTAATACTAAGTGTATTTTAGTTGTGAACAATATCTTAAGTTCTTACTACTTTTGTGTTTTGTTTTGTTGTGTATTTAAGTTAATTTTTTGTTTAGATTGCCAACCTTTTTATTTGACACATAAACAGTTCTGAGTGTGCTATCCCATTAATTATTCTTTTAAAGATTTCTAAATTCTCTCTATCTTACATGAGTGTTTGCGTTTTAGTAAAAGATATGAAAATTATTTGATGTTCAAGTCATTTACTGATTGATTCAAATGATACTTTTTAAATTAAATTAACAAAATATTGATTTTTCTTAAAAAAATGATATCATTGCTGTTTTATTAAAAAGGAAAACAGATACACTCATTCTGATTTTGAGTTAAAAGTAATTCAAAAGTTAAGAAAAGGTAATGTGACCATTACTGTGGAAGCATGCATGTGAAAAGTATCTTTTGTCTGCATCATATTTTGAAGTAAACAAATGTTATAGGCAATATATAATAATATATAATATGAGCCCTGAAGATTTATACTCATCATACAATACCTCTTATTACAGCTGGCAGGCATAGTGAGGCCTAATGACTTAAACTGTCACATGGACGCTGATAACTATTACACAGAATCTCTGAACCAGGTGAGTTATCTGGCACTGTGGCTTTATCTGAGCTTTTACATAAGCAGGCCTAGATGCAAGTGTGCACACTCTTCTAATATTACTGTGAGAGACTCTCACAAACACATATACATTGCTAAATTTTCACTCTCTCTCACACACACACACTACCAATCCCTCTCTCTCTCTCTCTCTCTCTCTCTCTCTCACACACACACACACACACTATATCCACTCCAATATCTCTCCATCTCTCTCTGTAGGACTATCCATCCATCAGTCAGGTGCGTGAAGTTCTCCAGAACAAGGATGTGGTATTGATATTTGCTGTGACACAGAACCAGTTTAATGTGTACAAGGAGCTCAGTGACTTCTTCCCCAACTCTCTGACTGGAGAACTCAAGAATGACTCCAGCAACGTGGTACAGCTGATCAAGGAAGTTTACCAGGTAAAGAGAATAAGATTGATATAATAATAATAATAATAATAATAATAATAATAATAATAAAAGATATGATGATAATGAGGATGATTATGAAAATTTATTTCTGAAAATTATGCTAGACAAACATTTTGTCTCTTTCTACAAATGTAATCAATATATCACACAAATGTCTTCAGGTCAGCCAAAGCTAGGTTTAAATGACCTGTCAGTTATTTAAAACTAAATTACGTGTGAAATGAGAAATGTTAATTATATCTGTAATGGGAAAAATTAAATATAAGTCTGTATAATATTTTAGAATATTTCATCTCAAGTGGAGCTGAAAACAAATAGTACAGAAGGCATAAGTTTTAAATTCAGATCAGAATGCTTAGGGTGAGTCTTTGTTATATAAAAAAAAAGTTTTTTTGTCATATCTTATATACTCCTGCACTTGGCAAAGTTGAAAAAATACAATTAATTTGGATTGCATTTAAGATCTGTAAATTATTTAATTGTAAATTTGCTGATGTAGCAGTTATTTTTTTTTATTTCAAGCACGTCATTTAGTATAATGTTGTGTAACACATGTTGATAACACATAATTATTTTTTTAGGACCAAAAAGATGAACACAAACAAATGTTTGGGACTGAAAACTGGACAGAGTGTAAGAATTTTGATCTGCTGATGAAATAATAATAACACAATAATATTATAAAATCTTGATCTGAATTTGAATACTCTCATTTGTAAGGACCAATTAATTCCTTAGATAACAGGGAAAAATAAAATGAGTAATTCTACTAAATAAGATGTCACAGTACCTAAAGCTTTTTCATATGATGACGCCCCATAGTTTTTCACATCTGACTTTACTTGACAGTGTTTAATTGTGATACAAAGTGCATATATAAAGTGCATAATTTTATATATATTTTCAAGCTGAAGTAATTCCATGATTCAGTTTCACCTGCTATATAATTTCCCAACAGATGACATTTGATATAGAGATGACAGTAACCTAGTTATTAATGATTAAACCCATCAGTTGACCTGGTACATAATTTCCCGCCAGGTGACATTTGATGTTGAGATGACAGTAACCCAGTGTCCAAAGGACCCCACACAGAAGAGCCGCGTGGTGGAAATCTCCCCTGGTGGTGGTTTGGGAGAGAAACTTGTCCTGAACTTGGAGTTCATGTGCGAGTGTGACTGCGAGCTCCCTGCCAACGAGGTATGTTCATGTCACAGCTTGTCAATGATTTAAGTGTCTGCTTAATGGTTTTTACCTTGAACTTACCTTGCTTTTAACTTCAAGACAAACATTACTTTTTGGGGCCTGAAAATGAATAAGATGGTGATTTTCTGTGCATTACGGTCACTTCACAACAAGAGAAGCAGATGAGCAATCAACTGAATAATGACATCACATAGTGTTTAACTGAGATCTCCTCTAATTGTAATTTGCATATTACATCAGAGAGGTCACTGGTGTTTAGCAGGCTCTGTTCTCTTTTAGGAACATCTAAATTAAATGCAGTTTTGGTCCTGGTTACACAATGACATAAAACACACAGGACACGCTCATTTTATATAATTTAAATACATTATATATATATATATATATATATTCCAGGTGCCATTAAGTCCCCTGTGTGAGGGTCAGGGTACATACCAGTGTGGTATATGTCAGTGTATATATATTATATATATATATTTCAGGTACCATTAAGTCCACTGTGTGAGGGTCAGGGTACATACCAGTGTGGTATATGTCAGTGTGATACAGGGTTTGCAGGAAGACGCTGTGAGTGTGAGACAGACAAGGAGTCCACAGAGGCTCTGGATGCACAGTGTAGAAGGTAACAGGCACCTTGGTTACAATCTGTATATCTGTCTGTCTGCTTGCCTGTACATAAGTACATCCATCCTTTTATTTAAGAGCACACTGGTGCAAAGTAGTAACTAAATGAGATTTAGTTTTGATTGTGGACTTGTGAAACTTTCTTCTAAACTTATTTCCAGGCGCACAGGCCCAATTCATACAGACAGTATTTTCTGCTCCAACAAAAGTCAGTGCATATATATGTGTGTGTGTGTGTGTGTTAACTTAGTTGTTATCACTTTTCCAGACCCAATTCTACAGACCTCACCATCTGCTCTAACAAAGGCCAGTGTATATGTGGGGCGTGTACTTGTTTACCAGATTACCGCGGACCCCTGTGTGAGTGCAATGACTTCAGCTGTGATAATTTTGAGGATCAGTTGTGTGGTGGTGAGTATTTTGGGATCTTTTTTCAATCAGATTACCGATTTTTATCCAAATATTTGATCAATTTAAAAATTGCTTACAGATTGACCAAAGCATCATTGGGAAAGTATATTATGTATGAATGCAAAGCACCAACGCTTACTTTTCATTTGAAAATTTATGGTTAAATCAAAGTGAATATCTTTTGATTTCCATGTAAAATGTGATGAATGCCTTCATATGAAAACACCAGCTATCACTACTGTAACTGTAACATGACATAATTATGTTGCCTAAGACAAAAATGTATGCATAAATGTATCATAGACCTGTATCAAGAATATGTATTATTATGATTATCCTGTCTTCGAACATGTATAATATGAATATTTCTGTATTCAGGACCTACCAGAGGCACCTGTGTATGTGGGAAGTGTGTGTGTAATGAAGGTTACAGTGGCAATGCCTGTAGCTGTCCAGAAAGTAAAGAGAACTGTATAGCCTCTAGTGGGGTAAGTGTGTGTATGTGTGTGTGCCTGCGTGTGTGCCTGTGTGTAGGTGTGTGTGTTTGTGTGTGCCTGTGTGTAAGTGTGTGTGTGTGTGTGTGTGCCTGCGTGCTTGCCTTTGTGTAGGTGTGTAATGAAAGTTATCTGTGTGATACTGCCATTATAACCCTGTGTGATGGTGACATTTTGTCCTCTCTATTCCAGAAGTGTAATGACTATGAGGTGTGAGTGTGTGCGGAGTCTGTTTAAAATCCAGTACAGCTAAGATGTCATATATGAAATATATTATAACCCTGTGTGGTTCTGATATTGTTTTCTCTCTATATTCCAGGAAGAGTGTAATGGCTATAGACAGTGTGTATGTGTGTGGAGTCTAGTTATATACCAGTACAGCTAAGATGTTATATATGATTTCCCTGTGTGATGCTGATATTTTCTTCTCTCTCTTCCAGGAAGAGTGTAATGGCTATGGACAGTGTGTATGTGGAGTATGTCAGTGTAGACTGGAGTCAGGACACTCTGGACCCACATGTGAGGACTGCCCTGTGAGTATTATAATAATTGTTATTGTTATAATTATTATTTCTTCTTCTTTTATTATTACTATATATATTCCAAAACTATGTGAAATTTTCAAACTAGAGAATTCAATTTTATTCGAGTGCATGTCTCTAAGTTAAAAAAAAACAAATTATTTTCATCTTTTTTCCTAACTTATATATTTCGGTGGGATTCATTGAGAGAGATAATGGATGATACTTACTATTTTTGTCACAAATGTGTGCTGTTTAATATATATCCATTGTACTGCATTCCATTTCAGAGATTTTAGAACTATAGCATATAACTGTAAGACTACGTATTCTAGCTATGTCCAGGACTACATGAGGAAACCAATTATGAAGACTATATGTAATTTTATGTAACATACATTGTATATGGATTCTGGATTCTGCAGACAATATGTAATATCATATAACATATAACTATAATGTATAACACTTGTATAATATTTCAGACTTGTCAAGGACTGAGTGAAGAAACCAAGCTGTGTGTCCAGTGTAACAGACTTCTATTCTGGAGACAATATGTAATATCATATAACTTAATGTGTAATACTTCTGTAGTATTTCAGACATGTCCAGGACTATGTGAGGAAACCAAGCTGTGTGTCCAGTGTACAGCATTCAATTCTGGAGACAATATGTAATATCATATAACTATCATGTATAACTCTACTGGACCTTTATATTTCAGACATGTCCAGGGCTATGTGAGGAAACCAAGCTGTGTGTCCAGTGTACAGCATTCAATTCTGGAGAATACTCCCCAGAGTACTGCAAGGCTAACTGTACCAATATAGAGATGGTCCCAGATGTGCAGAGTGAGTGGTTCAGTTGTGATAATTTTTTTCTTACTAAAGGGGGATAACACTGCAGTCCTTTTTGGAATAGATTGTGGCCTAGTTTATTCACTGTTTAGAGACATTTTGTATCATAGTAATGGTTTCACTTAAATCATTGTTTAACTTAACCAAACTGTGCAGAAAATTATTTTACTACGAGAGAAAAGACACTTAGAGAAATGAACCACATGTTACATACCCCAAATATTACTGAGAAATGGAGATTGAAGATTAATGTTTTTGCTCCCCCCCCCCTCCCCTCTGCTGTCATAGTTATCTGTTTGGTCCAGTTTTCTGTATATCTTATTATGAGCATCATGTACATTCACTGAGCTTTATCACTCATTGGTACACTGTAGGTGGATAGAGTCCTGTATTGTGCAAACAAATGTGGAATAACCAAGTTTTTTTTTTTTTTTTTTTTTTTTTTTTTTTTTTTTTTTTTTGGGGTTTGGGGGTTTTTTTTTTTTTTTTTTTTTTTTTTTTTTTTTTTTTTTTGTAATTTTATTTAGTTCCTATTTCAAATTGAAAAGACATTGCAATGTGTTTAGTAAATATCATACCTCATTTTCCCCAAGTTTAAAAGATTGTTGCATCATATTACCAGGTCTTGGTATGTCTGTCTTTTATAAAACCATCATGGTATGCTGGGCTGTTTTCTTAGATTTTAGAGACTAACCCCCTGGTGTGACAGATGTAGGTGTGCANTTTTTTTTTTTTTTTATTTTTTTTTTTTTTTTTTTTTTTTTTTTTTTTTTTTTTTTTTTTTGAGGCATTGGGTGTTTTTTATTTATTTATTTATTTATTTTATTACTTTTTTGTGAGGAATCATATGAAGTTTTTTTTCTTTCTTCAGAGTACAGTGATGAGAAGATAAAATTCTGCCAGTTCAAAGATGATGATGACTGTGAATTTTACTACAACTATGAGTATGTGGGCAACAAGAAGAATATCTACATCAAAGTACAACAAACGAAAGGTTGGTTTTAAAATGGATCTTTGAATTGGTAGTTGTGAATTATTTTGATGCATGCAGTATTTAAAAGTGACATAGAAAAATAATTTTATTACCTTCAGAATAAATTGATGAAATAAAAAAGCAGAAGAAAAAATAATTTAAGAAAATAAAAGTACAATGAAAACTTTAAAAAGCAAACAAAATACTTAGAAAAAAATGAGTCATGACTATGTATGGTAATTGTGTGTGTGTGTGTGTGTGTGTGTGTGTGTGTGTGTGTAGTAGGATGCCAGTTTATCAAACATAAAGCACACTTTTAAGGTAAATTCTTATTTATAGTCTAACTTCACTACAGACTATCAACTATCTTCATTCAATTTTATTATAAAAAAAAAACAAACTCCACCATAGCTCTCACATTAATCTATCTCCAGCCTGCCCCGCACAGGCCAATGTATTAGCCATAGTACTGGGAGTGATAGCAGCAATTGTAGCTATAGGACTGACTATACTGCTGATCTGGAAGATACTTACCACCATTAACTTCACATTAATCTATTTCCAGCTTGTCCTGCCGAGGCCAATGTATTAGCCATAGTACTGGGAGTGATAGCAGGGATTGTAGCTATAGGACTGGCTATACTGCTGATCTGGAAAATACTTACCACCATTAACTTCACATTAATCTATTTCCAGCTTGTCCTGCCCAGGCCAATGTATTAGCCATAGTACTGGGGGTGATAGCAGGGATTGTAGCTATAGGACTGGCTATACTGCTGATCTGGAAGATACTTACCACCATTAATGACAGGAGAGAGTTCGCCAAGTTTGAGAAGGAGAGAGAGCAGGCGAAATGGGATACTGTAAGTTAAAGAAGAAAGGAGAAATATTGTGGGTAGTGTGGAGGAGGGGGGGGGGGGAGGGGGGTTAAAATGCTGGTGAAGTAGAAAGGAGATGAACTGTTTTTCTCTAAAGTCACATTAATTTTATGGTTAATTTAAACCACAGTGGAGCTCAAGAGTTCTAATCATGGTAATTTAATATGATGAATCCATTAAATAAATGACATCTTAAATATATTTAAATATTCACTTGAATTCAGATGAATGGCAAATTATAATTATTTATTGTAATTGTTATCAATGGTTCAATTTTTAATTGAACATATCATTTTTTCCTCTCTTCAGGCTGAAAATCCCATCTTCAAACAAGCCACTTCCACATTCAAGAATCCCACATATGAGGGACAGAAAAGCTGAGCTAAGAGACCAAGATGAAAAATTACCAGAGACGCAAAGTAAATTGTAGTAATTCCAGGAGAAAGTGCCATGTGTCGAGGAAAGGAAGTGATATTTATTGATGTTGCTGCACTAGCCTGTAGAAAATGCACATATTGGCACTGTGGTATGATAAAATGCAAAATGTTAAAACTGAGTCATTTTGGCTGCTCAGAAAGTGAAGATGTCTCAGTTTGCTTCAGTTCATCATTGATTGGGTGTAATATTAGTTATTTTGGCTAAAAATAGACATGATACTAAGCATGACTTAGGTGCTGTATGTGCATATAATGCTGAATTTCTTGATGATGTCACAGCTCTGGGACAAATAAGCAGCAGTCTTGAATACCTTTTTAGTGCATAAATTTATTTATTTACTCAAAAATTAAATGGTAGTTATGTACCATGAGTCTGAGAAAAAAAATTAGAAAATGGATGAATACAAAATTCAGATGACAGTCAACATTGAAAAAGTTTCAAGATTTTTTTTCACAAATATTCACTTTGATAAGTGACCAGTTGCCAAAGATTTGTAACATTTAGGTTCTGTGACTCTGGCACTGAATAGGGGAGATTATTTTCTGGCATTTTTATGTGAATTTTTGTTGCATTTAGATTATTTTCAAGTCTGTTAACTTAGCAATGAATTGAATTTTTTTCATGTGGTCAGTCAAAAGTGGAAGGAAAAAAGAAAAATCGTAGAAAATTAGGATTAGTGTACTTTATGTACCCTTTATGTACTTAATGTACCCTATTCTTATTTAGATTATAATCATTATACTGGAAACCATGGGTTCAGTTGATGATTTTATCAGTTGTACGGGATTTTATTTGTAAATGCTGCTGAATTACATATTATCTCAATGTTAAAACTGCCTTTTAGGATTCAAACTATATAATTGTAACATATGCCAAAAAGTGGGTCTGTGTAAATAGAACAGTCTCTGTGCTTTTTAGTTACTTGTAAGTAATATGTTTGTATTACCTGTGTATCTTATTGATCAAAGTAAAGATTCATAGCCTAGATAATCATTTAGATGAAGAAGTTATATTAATAAAATGTAATGAAATATTTTTCTTTGTGCAGAGTTTGTAATCAGAGAAAAGTTGCTATCAGATGAAATGGCATGATATTATAACAGACATTGCTGAAAAGTCATTAAATTAGGCCTTGTATTAGATTTATTTACAATGTACTGTGACCTATACAATGTGCAATTGACACATTGCTTATCACTATGTATACTGTTGGTAGGCTTAGCTGAATTTTTAATGCTGAAAGCTTTAATTGTATTGATAGTCGTGTGGTATCCCATGTGATGCTTGGTATATATTTGTAGCCCAGACTTTGCTTAAAATTGACAAATGCAAAAAAAATTCTTATTACAAGTGTCAGTTGCCTTGTATTTAAGTAAGGATGATATTGTAACTGTTATAACTGTTACAGTTGCTTAAATTTGCTTTCTATCATGTTGTTCAATTTTGGAACATTTGAACCAACTACAAATCAAGAGGTTTAAGTGATGAAAATGGTTAATAGTAAAAGTGTGCATGGCATTATGAAACATATTTTAAAGAAGTTTAGGTTTTTGTATGTCTCAGTGTATTTGCTAACATAAAGACATAAACACTCAGCCCAGAGATGTGTTGGCAACAATTCACCTGTAAAACTTTGCATTGAAGTCTTTAGGGTTCATTCTCAGTGTAACTGCCAGTAAGTAACTTTTACAGTGCATTTAAACTGCCATATTATTATTTACATTGCTTTGTATTTGAATATTCATGTTTGCCTCAGGTCCTGAAATAAAGAAATATAGAACTTTTTAGGAAAAGGAAAGATGCACAGTAAGCATTAAATTCAAACACTCGAGTTTCGAGAGGTTTAAGAGAGTAAATTTTTCAAAAATGTGACAGTACCATTCTAATATTTTTGTTAACATAAACAGTATTCAATAAGGAGCAAGAAGAAACCTATTAAAATCTAAGACTTGGGGGCCACCCCTTTTAGATTTCCTTTACTTTCTTATTTGTTCAGTTCTTCATACATAAAATAAAACTTTGAGGTGTACTAATAAAGGTACTTATAGTCTGTTCATGGTCAAGTCTTTGGTATCTAGTACGGAGGTGTCTGGTTACTAACTGGATGCAGGCACTTTCTATCACATATAACTGCCTTTTTGCATTTTCCTTATTTTATTAAGAAGATGTATATGATTTAATATTGTGCTGCAATTCAAGTGCCCTTTCAAAACACTTGTAAGGACTGGATATTAAATTAAAATTATTCTCTTCACTGTATGTTTTAAAAGCACAGTTTATAATGTAGAGAAATGTGCTAGTGAGCAGTTGTGGATGAATTTATTAAGTACCCATTAAAAATGTTGTGTTTGCTTTGCTATTTATATACACAGGAAAATGTAGTAAACGATATAGACTGGACCTGTAGAGGCTAGATCTGTATTTATGGACCCAACAAAATATGTATTAGAATCTAAATGTTCTGTGTTCTGGTTTACATTATATGACCCAACTTTTTATCTATAAAATACTTTTTCTTTTGTGTAAACTAATAACATTTTGCATATTTAAAAACTTCCTGTAGGAATCTTTTTCAACCCATTGTAATTCCTCATTTTATTTTCCCTTATTTTTCATTCCATATATGTGTAGTGCATATGAATTATTATTTTTTGTACACATACGCAAGCAAGGAATTTGCGAAATGCTGTAACAAAATGTATCATGATTTGTAGTTTATCTTTTTTGTTGCATTTGTCCAAAATTTGAATTTATTTTAATTAAAGTTTCTCATCTGTGCTCAGTATGGCTATTATACTGATTACAGATGCATTGGTAATCCAATTAAAATTTTTTCGGAAAACAAGACTCGGTACTAACAGTGAGTAGTCCTTTTATGGTTTCACAGTTATATCATTTTAATTAAGAAATTATAGAAATTGAAAAATCATTTCTCATTATATGCTTTTTTTCATAGGTCACAATTATAATATCATGTAAACTAATATTCAATAAAACAACTTTTCTTTACAAGCTGGTTTTATTTTGACTTCTGTCCAGTAAATTTGACTTTTTATCTCTCTTTTGTGGATGATTGTTGGAAACAAAGTTGTAAAGTAATGAATATCAACACAAGCAGAATGTAGCTAAACAAGTAATAAAGCAGATCCAGATATTTTCTGACAGTTTTCCCAATTATCTTTGTTTATCCAGCCTCCATTTTGCTGTCAATGTAAACTTAATAACCTAACTTTGATCGTCATATGTTCGCCCCTGTAAAGTTTAACTAAACAATCAAATTTTAAACATTGTACTCTTCAGTAACATGCCAACAAATTGCAATATGGCACCATGGTTCACATCCTGACACTGGTACCAAGTA